ATAGCTGGACCAATTTACATGGGGAAAATTGAAGTCACCCATAAGTAGCACGTTTCGGGCGCATAGATTATTCTTAGCTCGTGTAATCCAGTCGGAAGAGATATTAGCTGGACTTCTGTAAAGCACTCCCACGTGAAAATTGCCTTTGGTCGTGATGATTTCGCACCAAATTTGTTCACAGTAACAATCATTACTCAAATAAGTGTTTTGTAACCGGCAACGTATGTCCGACTTCACATAGAGGAGCACCCCACCATGAAGCCGCTGCTGACGATCGCAACGAAAATGCTCATAGCCAGGGAGTTTTATCTCTTGATCGAGGACAGTCAAATCCAACCAGGTTTCTGCAACACCAAGAATGTCAGGATTTACATCAGAAACCCACTGCCGCAGATCATCTTGTTTCGATAAAAGGCTGCGTACGTTCATAAAAGCTACACGCAAGCCAGCGAATGACTCTGGCTGCGCGCTGTTAAGGTGACCGGGCGGTTTATGAATGCACGCCATTTGACTATTCGAAAATTTACGATACGTAGATCATTTTCACCTTCAAGAGTGCGCCTTCGAAGTTCCACGACAGCGGCTTTGAGCTGAGCTCGCTGAGATGGATCCATATCTGGTCTGATGTAAATATCCATACCTTTAAGTCTCCATGCGCGAGAAAGTAAGTGCTTGGGAGCGTCTGCATTTTCGAATACAATTTTTAGCGGTCGGTGGATGCCCGCAACTCGTTTTCCTAATCGTAAAATTCGTCGAACTCGAATTCCTGGTTCATCAGCATCGGCTAGTTTATCAACAAGTCCCTGGAGCAGATTCAGATCATGGTTGTATCTAGCCTGTGCGCCTTCTTCACCAGATTCTTTCGATCCAAACAGCATCAAACAATGATCGCGTGGAAACTTGAGTGTTTCTCGGTTTCCTGAAACAGTTGGTTGGATCGCGCTTGCGGAGCTGACAGGTAAACTTTCAACGACCTCATGGTCATGAGCTGGCGGCCGGGTTTTCATACGATGTCTCCGTTTCGTTGATAACCAAGGTGATTGCGTATTCTGTTCATCAGTACAATCGGATGACCTCATGGGGGCATTAAGAGTTACTGAAGGTTCCACAGAGTTGACATCTGGAACGTTCCGAACAAGACTGTCTTGCAGGTCGCTAGATGGCGCTGGTGCATATCGCTTCGATTTCTTCGATTTCTGTTTCTTCCTTAAAGGTGATGTGGAGATAGATTTGCATCTAGTACACGTAAATGATAAGTTATCGCTGGGATGAGCCAAGAGAGCAGCATAGATGGATGAGTGAATGTGGGAACACTCTATGTGCTCCCAAGTTGCACAAATATCACATTTCAAAGCTTTGTCGGAGTCCGAAACGGGTAGATCACAATTTGAGCACAAGGATGACACATCACAGATGGTATCCATATCTACGCAGCCCAAACTGACTATCAAAGTGAGCTATATCCGAAATCAAAATGCGAACCAACACCACGAGCACGCAACTTGAACCGCGCGCTTCGAGGTGGGATATGTAATATGCACGCTATGGAAGCCCCAGGGGACAGTGATTCTCCGAAGGCAGGTGTTCACGACAATTTCTGTGAATGGAAAACAGAAACAAAGCTCATGAGCCAGAGCCCAGTAAGCATGGTTGTGCATCACCAATACTTACATATGAATCAATCAAACTAACAGACAACGTATACTACACTGGCCTCCTTTTTGAAGAACACCGTCCCCGGTGTACCATGGCCTACGTGAACCGGCCGGTGCTAGTGGTGTGGTGCGTTAAGCTGGTGAGCGTGTGCAGAGGTTGTTGTATCTGGGGCTGCGTCTACCGTGTGTGAGTGAGCAACGTGCTAGCTCTGAGGCCTGTATGCACATATGTAGAGCCAGGATCACATCTAAGCCGCGGACAGTACCTGTCGCTACGACACTCAACTGGCATCGTTTCGACACTACGGTATCTCGCGAGACAGGATTGAAAGTACACAGAACTCGGGGATCTGAGTCTGGATGCTTTTTCTGGATAGATGTCTCAAATGACAGTCTAAGGGAACAGTTTAGTTCAATTATTCAGCTATGAACCGGGTCCAGCCACTACAGCCTGGTTCGCCGAAGATACCCCGACCTAAAGCTGTCAACCTGTCTTGGTGGTCGGTCTTCTGTACTGCAGTGATCTGGCAGGATCTCCGTTTGCAAAGGTTCAGCCATGTCAGAAAGACCAACGGGGAGCGGTCCGATGAAGAACGGGGAATCCTCGTACTATGAGTAAGCGTATCACGAGGTGGTATGGAGGTATAGTCGTACCGTACTCTGCGATAGGAGTGTGAAGGCAGTAAGTCGTCCCTTCCAGGCGACCAACATGTCCATATTTACGGAGGCCGCGATACTACCTTCTCCGAGGAAGGTTAGAAAAGGTCGGCCCCATAAACTGCACAATCCGGTCGCCTTATGGTTGACCGTGTTCACCGGCGCACTATTCAATACAGTCGGAATACTTTTAACACTAAATTGTCTGGTGCTGCTTATAAGGCACTTGCTTTGGGCAGCCGCATCAGGAGTGAGACAGTAATATCCCACTCCCTGCGCCCTCGGGCTAGGCCAGCCCTCCTACAGCCAAGTAGGTCAGTCTATTGAGTCATTGGCTCTGGGAAAGATTCCTCAAGAAAACCCTAACAACCGCTGTCTGGCGGTTCCGACGTTTGAGTCTGAGGCTAGGGGCAGGGCCCCCGAACAAAACCCTACATTCTCCCACTGCCTTGTGGGTCAGACTTTATAGTCAAAGGCTCAAGTTGGGGTACCTCAACTAAGCCTTCTCCGGCCTGGGCAACCAGGGAGTATCATTTTCCCTTGCAGCTCTTAGCTCACCTACTTTCCCCCTCATCCCCCAACCCATCTTACAGTCATCATCATCATCATCAATGACAGCAACATCAGTGTTGGCACTGATGCTTCACTGCCGTACAACCATAAATTTCGTTTAGTTATATATATATATATAACTGTATTAAAAGCCCTAAAGTGAAGAGAAGAGTAAAAGAGTGGGTGAGGGAGGGGACCTAGTGCTGGCCTATGTCAAGCAGACTGCCTTATTGATTTCTCAATATAGTTCGCTGTCGTCCAGGGTCAACTGCCGATCGATTGGAGTGTGTGATGTATAGGGTCGATCTTTTCTAACCCGCCTTTCCTAGGGGATAGGGGCATCATAGTCCCATTAAACATAATAATGCTGGCCACTCCCAGGAAGTACTTTGCTGCTCTCTCTTCCGTCACATCGAACCGCACGACCTTTGGCTACAGGACTCCTCGATGCAACTTCTAGCGTTGAAGTTCGACTGCTACGAAAAGTTGACTGCATCAGGTTGGATCTAGAGGAATACGGAGTTTCCCACGGCGATCATTGGTGAACACACCTACATCAACCCAAGAAGGATGGTAGTTCGGATTCATCTCGAAACAACATCTACCAGCGCCCGTGCAGTTAAAATATCTCATTTTAAAAAGGAAGGAAACGGGCTTCACAGCCGTTGTTGTCGCTCAGTCAATGGTCGTCAGCGGTCACCGCTTCTTGATTGGAGACATCAGTTATCGGGTTGGTCAAGTTTCAGAAACTTGGATCGACTTGAACGACTATAGCCAGTCTGTTTTGTGTGTGTACAGCTCTGCAGTTGTCCATTGTCAACATGCGGTTCAATCGTGGCAAGACACGTGAAGTAGGTACGGATATTTTATTGATTATAGCTGGTCAACAATTACACCTCAATGCATTCTTTTCGAAAAAGTCACGCGTGGCGTTGGCCGAAATATGGACCGTTCTTTGGTACGAGCAAAAGTGCGCACCATGGTACAATTAATCCGTTGCAGGATTGAAGCTGAATATCAGCAAGTATGAGGAAGTTTCAGGCGATGTCTCAGCAGCTTTTGAAGCTAACAATGCGAGAGCCAGTGGACGAACAGCGGACCGTAATGAGAACATATTCATGACATCGCACTGGGCATAGCTGGAAACTTAGCACCAGGGGATTTGTTTGACTGCTGCAATGAGCCGTCGGACCACCAATCAAGGTCTTGTGTTGCAACAAGTACAGTGTCGCCGAATGCAGTGGCCCCGTACTAATTTTCTCCCGGAATGACCGACTGATCGGTTCAACTGAGTGTTGGGGTCTGAGAAAGCGAGCTTTGTGACTTACCTTGATGACCGTGGCAACCTATGGACATAAACAAGCACTCCTGTGGAAGTAACAGCAAATTTTGATCGGTTTCGGCACTGTCCTGTCTTATCAGCTCCAACTGGCCATCGACACGCTCCTCAAACCACAATCAATCTGCTCAGGATAGATAACATCTCAGGTTGCGTGTACCCTCCATCTGAGAAGCCGTTCAACACGTAAGCATGGCATATAATTGCGTGGTTGAAGGGTGGATGGTGTTGTGTCCTGTCAGTGTAGATTAATCCCTACTTATGGGCAACTCCTATCTGACCAGTATAAGCTTCAACCGCTTGGCGGGGAATTGCGGGTTGGAATCTCTAGAGATTCATGAGATGCACATATCTGAAGATTCTCGTCAGGGATGAAACAGTTGTCCTGTGCCTCTCTGTTTGTCAGCATGGATTACCCTCATTTACAGGGCGAAATTTGTTAATTGAGATTTTTTCATTCTGGTATCAAGTTCGGCATGAAGCAACCCAGAATGCGAACAACCGACGTCAGATAGGCATGTCGGTGAAAAGTATGACTATTGTTGGTTCGATCCGCCCTCCAGCTAACATGACGCGTCCTGCGCTTGGTTGGTGGTCAGTAGTACTCTTGCTTGCATTTTCTGAAAAAACTTATCAGGATATTTTAGCTTGTGGACACTCCGGTATTTGTTATGATCTAGCTCTAGGACCGTCGACAACCTGCATGTCTTATCACTCAGTGTTCACCGTTTGGCGTTGGGAATCTGATGAGATCCCTTCCTCATCATGTTCTATCCCCGCTTTTAGCACCAAACATCATGTCGTATCGCACTCAGGCGTTACCCAATTCTTCAGATGAAGGTTCAGACGGCGGAGAGGAAGATATATTCTGGAAGAGGAAACCTCCGCACGCTCAGAAAAGAGCAGCCACAAACAGCGATGTCACGATGGTCCAGGCAACTTCAAAGCGACCGAGAAACCATGTTTGGCTGAACGTTCTGAATGAATGCGCGTTGGATGAGGCCCTATCAGGTGCAAACTTTCATGAGGTAACTACCGCCTGACTTAGCCTGGTATATTTTTCATAGAAACGGGATACGTCAAGAGGTGTTGAAAGCTATCTGGTGCAGTCAGACACCGATGAAGTGGATAATAATATAGAACGGGAATTTAGGTATTATGGATTTCAGCGCTTTCGATCTTTTCCACAGGTTGTCTTGTGATAAACCCGCAAACCGCTTTTCCGGACGGCTGCCTCCTAGGCGCTGGGATCCCTCAATTTCCAGAAAACATGTGAGCGTAAATTTTGATAGTCCGTCGGATGCAGTCAAGGCAGCGCTTGTAGAATTGTTGAATGAACCTAATGACGTTCTGATAGGTAACTCTGAGTTTCCATATATGAATCCCATGTTTGACTCCTTTCAGGTCAAATTGTTGATGTTCTGGGTGTCCAGAGGTCTTTGGAGTTCTATTTTCTGACAGAAGATGTTGAAGAGGCCGGTGGAATATATTATGCGGTAAGTTTATACTCAGTTTCCTCTCCATTCTTTTTTTACATGCGGTATTTTGATCGCGAACACAAATAAAGAGCCTCTGGTTTTGGGCTTATCATTAAAACTTGGTAAAATTTAGGGGCACTCAGAGGGTCTGAATAAGAGATATTGAACACATTGTAACGAAACGAAAACAGGCAGAAGAATACAGTATCTTATTTCATCCACAATTTGATCAGCAACTTAGCCTGTTAATCAAGGAGTTCAGTTTGCTGAGAAGTGCTGTACTCTAGAGGAAAGTCTCTTGATGGACCTCAAACACTTGTGGAACCGCTTCATTTCGTTTCAAGTCGTTGTTGTCGACCAACCACACTGCATGCATGTGCTTACAGAGCAATTGAAGTGCCAGATACACCAGAGTTCTCTTCGAGTTTGTTCAAACCAGTCCTTTGCGAATGAAGACATCTGGCCGAAGTGGAGGTTTGCAAAACCGTCAGTTATTATGTTTATATCAGCTTCGGCTTTCACCGACGGACAGCAAAAATTTTGGCGTTGAATAACGACCCAGGAAACCAAGTATCAGTTCCGAAATGGCATTATGAGTCGAGGAAGTGTGGTTGGATTTTCTCAAACTTTGATAGCTCAGGCGACTGCACGGCATTAGTATTCTTAAAAGGGCGAGCGCCCGTCAAAGCGGCCACCTTGTGTGAATCATCACCATCATCATCGACAGCATGACATCAGCGTTCAACCTCGATGCTTCACTGCCGTACAACCGTGATTTATTTGAAAGCCTTATTGTAAAGAAAAGAGTAAGGGTGGACGGGGAAGGTACTTAGTGCTAGCCCATTACAATCATTCTGAGGCGTCTATGCCTGCAGACACTCATTCAGGCGATCTGGATAGAAACTGACAACAAGAACGCCACTGACATCGGTTGACAGCCATATCTTGTGTCTCCAACTAGGCACATTGAGGATCACGGTGGGAAACCACCGTCCACATTTGGTCGTTGTTGTTCGCGGATCACTCCCCAAACAGCACGGCGAGTGGCAGAGTTGTAGCATTTTTATTTCAAAATCAACTTTATTGGCTTACCCAAGTATTGAGGACGCAGGCATTTAGATTCACATCAAAGTTATCATGAAGCCTAAGTCAAAATTAAGGATATAGATCAAAGCAACACACTGCTACTCGATACTTATCGAGTACTTTGTCATCGCCTACATTGAGTTAAAGTGCTAATTTGTAGTAAGTTATCCTGTTTCGTAGTTTTTTCCTTGCGAGATCTGGTTTTTTCTATTGGACAGATGAACGTTTTGCAGGTTCACCACTGAGCAGTCATGCCTATTGAATGTATACCTCACGCATTCACTTCAGGTAAAACAGATACTCACTGCCTTCCGGACACCGAGATATGACTCCCGATACAGAAAGTACGGTGAGGTCTCTATGAGTTGCGCATCCTCAGAAAACACCACCACCGCTGAAAAAATTGGGCGTCTCCCCAAGTCGTCCTTTCTGGGGACGTCATGTATGGGACGACTGAAGTTTAAGAGAAACCAGTTCCTAATGCGTAGGTACCTGTTCAGGAAGGCACCCTTGCGTTCCCCATGCTTTACTAGAGCATTCTTTTTAATCGTTTTATGACAGTCAAGCACCCGTATTTAGCACTGCTGTCAATGAGGATGATGTGATTATATTGTTTTTCTTAGTATTTCCACTTGAACATTTTAATTTGGTTTTCTTAGTATTTCCACTTGAACATTTTAAGATGTGCTACCTTGTAATGCCACCCAGTTGCATTTCCGCATGGGATCTTGGCACTTGTACTCGTAGTTCCCTAGAATTAACCCTTTTAAAATCATTTGGATTAGTGAGAGAAGTATACATCTATTGCTGTTAGTTAAATATTAATCGACGGACCCTTTCGAACCACCGGATTTGTCAATCATCCTAATTGTAATGCAACCTGCATGGCACACGAACTTCTCACAAGATTCCAGGTTGTTCGATTTAGCGATTGGATGTGTAGGCACCTCAGAAAGCATGCGACAAGTCAACATCAGGTCCCCTCCCTCATACACTGTTTTATTTTTTACTCCTTTGAAAACAATTAACTAAACTTTTTGGTTGTATGGCAGTGGGACATCCGTGCAACTACTGATGTTGCTGTCCCTGATAATAATGGTGTTGCTGTACCATCTTTCGACATCGGGTGACTTCTCTTGACTTGAGGTTACTCAGCTTGTTCGGTAGTGCAGCCTAGATTGATTAAATGGAAGCGTTTTTCGGGCACAGGTCACGCAATTGCAGTGCGGATTGAGGCAAAGCACTGCGTTTATCGAGTCCAGAGAAAATTTCCGGCACTACATCACGTCTTACCGAAAACATTCGTCTAAAAGATGAGCCTCGTCAGGTTCTCCCTGAGGATCGACGGGTCGAACAAACTATAAGCTTTACACCACCAGCCAAACATGTCTGAAAAAGCTGACAAGTGGTCAAACCAGAAGTCCCCTACCTCATTAAAATTCGACAGCCATGCAAACGGTCGGAGTGTGGTTGTGTACAAACCAGCCTGAAACTGTTGATTTTGCTTGTTTGATTCTTCTGTGTCCACCTGACAAGTCGAATAAAGAGGGCGCTCGTATAATTAAGCACGTTATAATCCGACGGTGTCCTCGTTAACTTTACTCTTTGTGACTGTTTTTATCGTCCGTCGAGGATACCAAGGAATCCGCTCTGGAAAGAGTGACCAATACGGGCCGTATCGCACGGTTTGGAGACCTACGGATTGACTTTTTAGCTGTGTTCGGCTGTTCATATAGTTTGGGATATCTCGTTTAGGCCAGAGTGACTGCTCCAAATATTCGGTGCTACCGCACACTGATATTTTAGGCATACTTCATTCGAACATGGTAAAACGGTATACTTATCGTTAGATTCTGTCAGCTGGATTATTGTGAACAATCATAGTTTGTGTCACCGAGCTAACCTCGGATAAGTTATCATGTAGCCGCACTGTATCATAACGGAACCGACAAATGTCGATTTTTCGTGCGTTACATTTTAATGGCATACACTACCGTAACACTTTCAGTTTCAACCACAACTGATGAATGCTTCTGTGAGCGTTACTCAATTTTTTGTTCTTGATTGAATGATTGGCGGAGCCAAGTTCAGTCTAGTCAGTAAGAGCATTTCGAAAGTGCTTATGGCACTATCAAGTTTACCGTGATATGCGACTAATGCTGGATGTAGTGTTTCCCCTTGGAGAGTCACTTCGGGAACCAGAAAATACTTCTTCCAATCCCGAAATGGCTTCTTTTAGAGGGGTTTCTTCACAACAAGTCCTGAACCATCAGAAGTGCCTCCTCTAGACGAAGATAGGGAGTGTTTTCCTTTTTAGAGGAGTACATTATATTACAACTCATCTTCCTCACAGTTTTATTCCACGTTTTCACGCTTCAGGAGAATGAAGCAACTTTATAAGCGTGTTTACGAGTTTTCGTGGGAGTTTGATGAAAAACTGTCTTCCCCAGTACCTCTAGATTTTGCATGGCCGCGTGTGATCTACCAATTGGGGGGGGGGGCTGCTAAGTCTCTAGCTCAGTTGACGGGGCACTCGTTCAGTGAGAGATCGGTGGCTCTAGTCGATCCCCGTTTATGCGTTTTCGCTCGTGGTCTATGTTTGGACCCCTTGATTCAAGGTTTGCCATGCAAATCACATATAATCCTCTTGTCGTTCTTATTCGGATTCGCCTAGACGAATTGTCCATAATGACTCAGATATGCAGACTAATCCGGCCTATGCAGCAGGATTATTAAATATTTGAAGTATTTATCATAGGTAAAGTGAAAAATAACCGAATGCGCCTTTATAAGAGCTATTGGGAACGTTCGCAGGCAACCGATCTTCCATACTTCCTATTTGGCTCGTTTCAATCACTTTCTGTCGGAGAGACATTGTGGTTCCATCGAAAGTGTGTGTATAGAGGATACGAGTGGATGGGGCAGACGACATGGTCGTTCAAGGGAAGAAATCATTATTCCGAAACAGTTACACCGATGTCCTTTCAGAGGACTTTCTTGCAATACGTCATTTCGTGCTACGCCGGATGGCGATTTTTAATAGGGGATAAGTCGCTGTCCCAGGTCACGATAACTTAGAGCACGGGGACTATCTTACCCCATCTTCACACTCAGTGCTACAACCTGATGGGTTTCATTGTTTCATTTGTCTGCAAATTAGCTTTAAAACTTTCGATTTTGTACACCTTCAGGATGGATCACAACGAAGATCCCGAGGTGGAGTGTTCCTGAACCTCATAAAAAGATCGGATGAAGTCACGGAAGATGAGAAAAAGGCCATGTTCGCATTGAGTAGGAGGATAAAGGACCGGATCAAAAGGTAAGCACTGTTGATGTTGCGTGGTTTGGTTTGTAACTCCTGGGACAGGAGAGGCGATTTGTTTCTCCTTGAAATTCGTTTGGTATTTCGGATGTGTGTGCATGGTGTAAACGCTGCTGAGAGGACTGCACCGACACCCGCGTCTATCAACTCTTCACCAAATCTATTTTTTTATGCCAAATTCAATGGAAAACAGTAGTTGAGTTCAGCTCCGATTAGAATTTTTTGTCCCAAAATGAACTGCGTCGGTTTTTCATCAGGCTGTACAGAGGAAGAGTAGCTCCTTGGTCAGAGACCCCGTGTTCATCAAATGCACAATCACTTAGCCGTAGCACCCTTTCGATGCCTAACTGCCATGCCACTAGAAAGAAGCACGGTGGCTGGTATACTGTCAGGTTGCTCAAGCCTAGACCGGGGAGGTCGAGATGCAGAGGTCGAACCACAGACCTTCACTAAATTCGTGCTCTAGCCACTGAGGATAACACCGAAACACTATTTTCACTGCTAGTTTACTATATTCGAACTAATGTTCTGCACAATCTTTCGGTACTTAGTCCGAAGAGGGGATCTATCTCGAGGAAATTCTCCCGGAGCTATTGTCGATCTCAGCCTAGTAATCAAGGCGAAGGACGGAGTCTTTGTTTCACTGGTAATGGGCGCCTACAGCTGATCTAGTTATCCAGAACCTCCAAATAAATTCGTGCCTAGCCACTGAGGATAACACCGAAACACTATTTTCACTGCTAGTTTACTATATTCGAACTAATGTTCTGCACAATCTTTCGGTACTTAGTCCGAAGAGGGGATCTATCTCGAGGAAATTCTCCCGGAGCTATTGTCGATCTCAGCCTAGTAATCAAGGCGAAGGACGGAGTCTTTGTTTCACTGGTAATGGGCGCCTACAGCTGATCTAGTTATCCAGAACCTCCAAATCACTTTTCACACGACAGTTCCCAGTGATACTTAATGACGATAGATGATGCCAGAAATATGAGTTGTGTACTCACCGGTTTTTTATACACCGTCATTTAGTCACCTCCCTTACCGGTCTGTAATCCCACCTAAATGCCGAAGACTTTTCCCTATTTCACTTGTATCACAGTACTTATCACAAGAACGCAGTGAAATCGCATATTTTGGGAATAATCCAAACGAATAAGAAACTTCGGGCTAGGTAACTGACTTAGGCCCTCTCCCTAGTCTTGCTGAGGTATTCCTGAGAGCTCGAGATAGCTCAGTGATTCAGGCGTAAACTTACTGACCTCGGTATCTCGACTACCCCTGTTTAAGCTTGGGCAACTTGACAGTATCTCATTCCTCATGCTTCCTTCGGATAGCGTGACAGTTAGGTACTGACAGGGGGGCATTCTTTCAGAGCCAACTTATTTCGCCTTTTAGCCATAGTCATCAGAATATGTATTGGACGATCCCCAACCAACAGTGGTCCGTTACTTTTCCCCTTGCTGTTTCTGTTATCTGCGTGCCTTATAGGAAGGAATAGTCTTTGGGATAACCAAGACAGCTTTCACAAGCAGGGCTCCTACACATTACACAATTCTTGGTCATTCGAGACTGATTTCGTGGATCCTTCAGTGTGAATGCATCCTAGATATGCTCTCATCCCATCTTCGTTTGTTGTCTTTCTTTTCATCTGCACAGGAAACGGAAACAACTAAAGCAAGCCAAAGAAAAGCAACTCATCGCAAGCTCCGTGACTCTCAGTGATGTGAGCGTGGAAATAAGTGAAATCGAAGATGTGGAAGCAACAACCCGAGTCCCCGCAAATTTCGAGGATGAAGGTAGTCCGCAAGCGATGGATTTCAAGGCCGGGCATAACAGCGAAGCGCCTAATCACGGCTTGGTCAATGAAGAAAATCCGACCGGTTATTCCACTTCCTTCTCCGTGAAAATGCACCCGGTTGACCCACGCATGGATGAATGTGAGGAAGGTGAACTGACCTCTACAGAAAGTGAAGATGAATCCACTCAGAGCTGATTCTTGTGATATTTATTGATTTTCGTTGTTATTCTACCGAATCAAATGTACAAAATCATAAAAACAGAAAGGAAAGAAATTATATCAAATAATTTTCATAGCAAATGGCATTTCTGAACCAGTGAAGCACCGATCAACAAATCCATCACGTTAGTGTTGGTCAGTCGAGCGGGGAGAATTGTCCCAATGTGATTTTTGCGGAAGAAACCGTAGGAATTGCACCGACGGAGTTCTTCCTCTGCTTCGTGGTATGTATTCTCCGTACAAATGGCGTCGGACGCACTAACCCACATCCCACCGCCACAGGCAGCAGGCCCGTCAAGGCCATCTGAGGCACCGGCAAGAAGTCCTATATCAACGGACGTCGGTAACTCGGAACCCTGCATCAATTCAAACCATCTGATTGCCGCTGACAAGGCCAAATGGCTGCATCGTCCACCTACAGAAGTGCTCGGGTTGATCTTGTGAGGAACAACAACCGTGGCTTCCCCTCCCAAGAGGAAGACAATCCCACCATAAGCGTTCTTAGGCGCCTTAGCCAGGGTCGAAGCAACTTGTAAACACGCCTTGAGTACAAAGCTGGTCTGTGCAAGGTTGCTACCGGATTTTGTTGCCGTTTTTGTCAGTTGAGCCAGTAGGTCTTGGAGTTTTTCGTCGCTTTTCCCGGCTTCCTGAAAGCAAAACGAACCAAATAAAAAGACTATCCGAATGGGATGGGTGTAGCAATACAGTTTTCACGTGACGATAGATCTAACTTGACCTGGTCAGCTTCTTCGAACGTTTTACTCATGGTTTATCAATTATTACGATTTTACCCAGATCTTATGGACTCCACAAATATGGTGAACATGGAAGGTACGTTAGCCATCACTCCGATTATAAGCGCTCGATACACATGAGTTATTCTGAGAGCGAAACAAATATAATTCACTTCTTCAATGATGTGATCTAGTCCGGGAGTCACGTATGGGAGGGAGGACACATTTTAATCATATCTTATACGCATATTGTTTGGTTGTCACACGCTATGCGGCGTCGTCTTCCACAACACTGATCCCTCAGATTTTCAACTGGAACAATCGTGAGACTTATTCCAGAGAGATAGCAACTGACCAAAGAAAGTGGTTATTTGGGCCGTTTTGAAGAGAGTAACGTCTGTTTGTGGCTAACGCAGGACCACCGTTGTAAACTATAGCTAAACCTCACGTCTCCGTGGGGAGATCACCATATATTCTGCGACCTCTGGTCTGTGTTGTCATTTTGGGGATGATCTATTAGGCTGCATAATCCTTCATTATTTTCGCAAGGTATTTGGTGACTTACTGTAGAAAGTGGCTATCAATGCAATCGTAACGCGAACACAACGCTCTACGGGAAATGCTTCGTCAGATTTTTGGACATAGTCCGGCTAAGTAGGCTGCGTGCAGTTGGGCAGCTAGATATATGTGGTATGGACCCTCTGAACAGTCTTGTCTCTGCTTTTTCGGCATTTTCCCTTTGCCGGGCAATACAACCCTATGAACAGCTCTGGGCTGATGGATCCTCTCAGTAGCGCTTCCCCAGTGATTGACGAACATGCATTAATGCAATGGGCTAACTGAATTAGCACCCTCACTAAATCATATATTTGGTCATCGAAGTGGACACTAGCTGTTGCATGTGGCCTTGGTATTACTCCCAAAAACGTTATGCTCACGAGAAAGCTGGACAAGGTGAAATGAGTGTTGAGTGCACTTAGTAGCAAGTGATTGGTTGCTAAATCGCTTGTGCCTAATGCATGCGATGTGTGAGTGCCAACAGTAACGCTTGTACGTCACAGCCGATGAGTTATCCAAAAACGAAACAACCGTACGACCATTTCTGCACAGATTGGTCCCGTTTCGTTTAAAAAAATATTGCAACATCCCCAACACAGGCACTAGTGAGCCACAGTCAAACAGTTCCATCAATTAAGGTCGAAATCCAATTAATTCGCCTCACCTAGTTCACCCGACTAAATGAATTGGGTGAAAAGGCGTCTTGTGAACAAACGGTTCACTGACCCATCAAACATAAACACGTGTTTTTACATTTGTTTGATACAGATATCCATCGCACAATGCAGTGTGGAGATGACCGAGAGGTGAAGAGTGTATGACCTGGCAACAAAGTACGAAAACACTAACCAGCAAACTTAGTCGGGTGTGCAACTGCCGCCTCCCTGGATGGGTACCCCGCAACGCAAACCGCCAGTGGTTAGTGACATTGGCAGAAATGGCCCGATCGCGCAGTCAGTGGCGCTTGTGCGTCAAAGCTATTGCCTTCAATGCGTAGCTACCCGATTTCCCAACAAACTGAATACGCATTGGCCTTCAAGACTTGGTTGTATGTTCCACTTTCCCGTTTTCCGGTGATCGACACGAACCAGTGTGCCTATGGCACACGGTTTATAGCTGATAAATTGATTGATCAGATGATTTGCTACCAAGAAAAAAGAACCTCACTTCTCACCCAACCGTTTTAATGACCCCACTTGGTAACAGTTCGTGCATTAGTCATTTTCATCACAAAACGGGTCAAAATTTTGTAACTTGCTTTGGGCACCACTGGTAGGGAATGAGAATCATTTTCGAGCAATTTCAGTATGTAGCGAGCCGTATACCAAAGTAATTCAGCCAACAGGCGTCCATTTTCCGTCGCATCGCCGCAGAATTCGTTGGTCAGAATGATTGGCAGTACGTACCTGGAGTGTTGGTAGGAAGACGCAGAATTATTGAGATCGATGAGCACCTGGATGGAAGCATTTCTCCTAAAAAAGACCCACCTGCCTTGTGATTCGCTGTTTGAAGCTGATGTCTCAGTCTCCACACTCTTCGCAGCCGAATTCAGTGCAACCATGTTGTTTCCAATCACCAAGTTAATCACTCGTGGATGTCTGCCCTCCCCCAAATTTGACCCAGAAAGTTCACTTTCCAAATACTCGCGGATCTTCCCGGGTACCTGAGGGCAAAGTAAGAAGGCTGTTATTGCTATCGGGTGTGCTACGAAAGTATTACTTCCGGAACCCTACACCCGTCATCGAAAGACCGCTGGCTCGCATACACACGCCGTAGTGGAAAATACGAAGCATCAACTAACTGCAGTCTTGAGTCCACCATCTTAGCAACCTAAAAATCATCAAACGGGAAAGCACTTCTGTCACGAACAGGCGCGTGCAAGAAGCACAAGGAACCTCGCGTCAATTAAAGGTTATTTTCGACCTTGAATACAGGCTGTCCAGTGAGCCTTTGGCTATTGACTGGAATCGCTTCTAGGGCACAGACGAAGAGTAGGATCGTCAGTAGTTCGTGACTAGTTGTTTGAGCGTCCAATCGGCATAGAGACTCCGCTTTTTTTAATAGGGGTTAAGTTGGAGGGTCTAAGTAATTTTCATACGTTATGGGACTGTTTTTAAGAACACAACTTTCCTGGCAGTAACGGAGTCGAACATTGCATGAGGCTGAATGCAGTATCTGTTTCGACATGTTTGGATCTGTAGACGCACACTGTCTGCACAGATCGGATCTGATCGCAAAATCTTCCGTAGATATGCTCATTCAACTTAGTTACCGATCACCAATCCATTAGTACGGGCGTTGTTGGTTGCAGTAAACTCATGCAATAGCTTCTCCAAGCTGTTGCGGTCCGCTCAGGTTGGAGGCGTATGTCGGGAACATTTTTAACTGATGGACTTTTAATCCTTGGTCCTTATCCAACTCCAAACATCCACTTTTGGCTATTGGTACATACTGCACCGCCATATGGAGATATCGCAGTGTATTTGCCTGAAGGAAACCACTCACAGGGTCGGAAGGTTTTCAACAGCTTGTCAGTGGACTACTTCAGGAAGGACTCCATAGTCCCATTCTTGTCTCGACTTCAGACTTTGTCTTGATGTTCTAAGAATATATTCTCATCAAAATGAACAGCTTAGACCTGATGCTTCTGTGAATCTGTTTGCTAACCAGATGAGGTTGTTTTCTGGTGGTCTAGATGATGAGACTGTCCGATCTGTATCCGATTCGGTGAAAAATCGGCAAAACAAAAGGTTCCATTGACCTCTTGCTCCGTGGCGAAATGGTCCGGCGAACGAACCGGTTTCAGATCGGTAATCATGTACAAGAAAAACAGTATTGATGTATCGTGGACATGTCGATTGTTCAATGCATTTTTGAGAACACCATGAAAATAGCCGCAAATTGAACCATTAAATAAGAAGCAGCTTATCTTATGGTCGAAACTGCCTCAAAACTGATTCAAATGGATGGATGGTCTCTTCAAGATATACGATTTACTAGCAGTTCAAACTAGGAGCACTTTTCTCAGAGGTGTGACCTCTACCGTGTCTTAGGTGGAATTCATACAGCTAGTCGTTTAACTTCCTCGACAACAGCCTCTTCCAAGTTCAGACCAACCGCGGTAACCAGAGTCTGGAATTAACATCCACGCATCCAGAACATAACTTCTTATATTGAACGTATTGGATACAGATAAAGAGCGCTAACGAAAAGAATTCTCGGCCGAGGTGGAATTGGACTTGTCTCACTACAACGATTCGCGTGCCTTCATAAATTATGGAGCTAATCCAAGGGATTTCTTTAGAACGCCTGGTATGAACACGGCCTATGTAGTATCCGAAAATATGGCCAACAAAAAACTTGATTGCAATGAAAACCGCTTACGCGGATCACCTGTTCAAAGAACCTTAGCCGTTGAAGAAAGCAGTATTCCGATTCATGCAACGGAGGTTCTTCCAAGGAGTGCAGGTCGTCTCTGGTGAAATAAATATGCTACGAATATGCTTACAGAATTTCAGCAATATGAGACTCGCTCATCATCGGTTCGTCAGTGGGATTTCCCACATTGTTTTGTTTTGCGAATGGGGCTATCCTAGAGCAGCGTTTTTCATGGGGGTGATTTTGCTTGCTTGTTGGAGGCCGATGAAACCGTGAGCTTGGTGTGGAGCGCTCGCGATCTGTTTACTAGCGTGACCAACTAGCGCACCTCTTTTGTTTATCAAGATGTCGTTTCGATTTGTCATCCTCACAACATCCAGGTACCCTGTGATATGTCAGTCTACAAGACAGACAACACTTGCATCCTCGCTTACTGCAATATGGATACAACAAAC